AATTGAATACTGATATCTCTGCACCGTGCATAGAAATGTTGGCATTCTCTGTAAAAATAACATTCAAGTGAAAAAGAGAGAAGGAAGTCTCTCTATGCTGGAGGTAATTTTTTTAAAATTGGCTAAATGGATGGTAAATTAGTGAGAGAAAGGCCCAAGAACTTTTCTTAAATCAATTTTAGGGTTGGAAATATCTGTTTCTTTTAATTTGGTCTGAAACGTATTTGCAATTTTATCACAAAATGTCCCCATGTTGAGTCAGTGTCCCCGTGCTGGGCCTTTTTTATTAATAATTTTTTATGGGAAAATGAGTGTCCCTATGTCAAATTGTCTGCGGGTTGAGGTGTCCGCATGTGGAGGTCTCCACATGCGGACTGTAATTGTAATTGGAGGTCTGTAATTGCATTTTTTATGTTCAGGAATAACTTCCCTTAGCATAAATTTGTAATATTTGCTAGTGGATCAGAAATTAATGAATAAAGTAAAGTTTTGAATTATGTTTGAATTTGGGAAATAAAAAACAGAATCAGCCTGTGACAAGGCCGGGAATCCCTTTAGGATTTCTTATTTAAATTGATTGAATGTATTTCAAAATTGTGTCCCACAGTTTCAACACACAGAATAAATTCTTGACAACACAACACTCAACAGAACTCTACCACACATTTTTTTAATTCTTGCCAATGTTCACAATTTAGAAGTTCAATTGCAAGTGGCTTTGGGAAATTCGTTCTTCGGTAATTTTGGGAGGAAAACAGAAATCGGTTTCTGGTTTTCCTTGTTCTTTCTTGTGTGGTTAGCCTTGGTGAGTTCCTTCCCTTTGAGGGTTGGAACTCTTATCTGATTTTGTGGTGTTTTCTTTATTATTTTCATATTTTCTTTGTTGAGACTTCTTTGTCTCTAACAGCATTGTTGGCTCATTGCAGGAAATTTCAGTGGTCTGGAAGTGGAACTTCATTTTTCCAGGGTATTTCAACATTACATTCTCGATTTTTACATTCCGTCGTTTTTCCTCGTCATCACATCTTTCGTGTCATTTTTCATGGACCCAGCCGCTGCTCCACCAAGAGTAACTCTGGGTATATTTCCGCAAAAATTTTTACGAAAAATAATAAACCTGTTGCCAAAATTATATTTCGACTTTTTTTTGCAGGAACGAGTACCATGCTGACCTTCATCACTCTCGCAAGAGGCATTGAAGCTTCTTTGCCGAAAGTAGCTTACATTAAGTCGATCGAAATTTGGTTTTTCGGATGTATAACTTTCATTTTCTTATCACTGGTGGAGTTCACGTTGGTTCACAGCATTCAATCCTCTGAGTAAGTATAGTATTCAACGGAGAAAAAAGGCCCCAAAAGATGTACATAAATATCAGACCTTGGGGAAAATAATCTTGCATGAAATCAGACATTTTGAGATGACAACTTGACGGAAATTTTCATTTTTGATCCACTTCAAGGAAGCCCGTGTATCACGTGAAGAGGGCGACACCGTCTCACATTATTCGAAGGGCAATATCCACATCTGCGAGCAGAAAAAATTCTGAGCCGAATTCCCTCAAATTTTCAATTCGAAAACGCAGATTGTCAGAAGACGGCATGAGAAAAACGGAATCCGTGCCTGATTTCAATGAAAGAACAACGACGTCCGTTGAAAATTACCTTACGGTAAGGAATACATATTTTCTCCATATTTCAAATTCATTTTCATTCTGAAAGCCGTATGAAATAAAAACCTGCTTAATTCACGGAATGTTTCAAGGAAATACTTTTAAAAATGATGATGTGAGAAAAACGCTCCCGGAAATCGAGAGCTGTTCATGAAAAATATGTGAATTATTTTCTAAACAAGAATTTATTCATAAAGAAACTCCTTCAAAGAAAATGAAGCTCGATTTTCCTGTTTTATTGTTGGAACAGTGGTCATGAAAGTAATGATCACACCTCCATTCAACATCCAACTCTGAAGAAAAAACAAATGAAAAGAAAAAACATTTTCTAGCTCTGAAGAAGATTATTCAAGAACCCTCGAAGGAAGAAAATTAAATTAAAATTTATCCTTGAATTTTTCCGGTCATGTTTTTAGAGTTTGACTCATTAATTGTCACTCGCGTGAAATTCAGAAGTTTCCTCATTAAAATTGTATAGTCTTCAAAGAAAATTCCCCTTTTTCTAATTCAGGTGTACGACAATCCACTCATTCAAGGCATAAGTTTGTCAAATCCTTCCACGTTGACGAATCGAGCCACTTTTGAAAAGGTCCCGAGCGTTCATTCAGTTTTTTCCGCGTCTTCAAGCATTAATTTCGAACAAATGGACGAGATGGAATCGCGAAATTTGTCAACTTTGGCAAGAAATGATGATACGACAACTCAGGATTTAGAGCGAACCCGGGAAGAACTTCGCAAGTTCACACGGAAGAAGAATGGGTAACTGGAACATCATTTCAGTTCAATATAATGAAAATGACTTCAAATCAACACTGTATTACTGTACTGATAAATATTACAAATAATTACAAATTGTATGCGCACATTTCTCTACAAGAACTGTTTACGGCTTCAGTATAACAGTGACTCTAACAAATAATACAGTATCTTAAAGGGATCTTTCTTGAAGATCTTCAGAGTGGTTTTTGTTGCTCAATTTTATGTGTATCATTGTTGCCTTTAAAAAAATACTATTCGCCTTTCAAAGAGCTCTCAAATTTTATTTTAGATAGATTTCTTCTTTCAAATCGAGCTACTTAAATTCATAGCTCACTCAGAAATTGAGAATAGGACCATATATTCATCTTCCCATTTCCCCAGAAATAAAATCATTTTGAGCATCATTTTCAAAAAATAGGAGACCACAGAGCAAAAAATTAAATTCATAACGCCGTTTTTGAAGTAATTTTTTGGCACAGTACTGGAAAAAGGCTTGGAAATTATATTTTTGCATAAATACGATTAAATTCACTCAAATATAAGAAATAACGCCAAAAAAGTAGTCTAATTCTTTATTGTCTCCTTATAATTTCAGACAAAAATACAAGAACTTCAGTATAACCTAAAATATTCTTTGAGTCGTTTTATATTTTTCAGAAAAATGTTTCTTGAAACAAATTCAAAGTAATCCGTATTATAAATCTCATATGGTCTCTTCTCAAAAACGTCCGTTTCAACTGAGAAGCATTATTTCTTATGTTTGAAGGTTCATGTCTAAAATCGTCAGCACCCTGTTTCGCTCATCTGCGCCAAAAATTGTTGTCCTGGATGAAGAGGATTCAGCAAAGGCGAGAAGGAACCAACCAAAACTCACTCCAAAAAAGGCCGCCCGAATTATTGACAGATATTGCAGGTTGATCTGTTTCGCTCATCTGCGCCAAAAATTGTTGTCCTGGATGAAGAGGATTCAGCAAAGGCGAGAAGGAACCAACCAAAACTCACTCCAAAAAAGGCCGCCCGAATTATTGACAGATATTGCAGGTTGATATTCCCTCTTGCTTTCGGAATGTTCAATCTATTTTATTGGCTGAGTGTCATGTTGTTGTAAGATTTCAGTCTGTTTATCTCCTGTAAATGCATAACTTATGATTGAAGCAATAACACATTTCTTCAGAAAATTTCTGTCTGCTGTTACTCTACATTTTCAAAATACAATACCATATACTGTGTATACTGGAGTACCACATGCCCTTGAGTAAAGCACGCACAGGGGGTTTTCAGGTGGAAATTTTGCTAAAACTTTATCCCCAAGTAAGACACGCTCCGCAATTTTTAGTGAATACTAATACTTTGACTAAAGGTCACTGAAATGCCCCCAGGTTGCCAAGGCCGAAGTTTGGAAAAATCTGGGTACAGAAAATCCCATTGTCTCAAGAAAACCCCAATGTTACTCCTATACTGCGAATGCATGAAAAAACTTCACCAAGTGCGGCTTTTTTAGCTAAAATCTTCTGCAGGATTATAAAAAAAATATTGGACTGTTTCCTGACATATAGGCCTTGGTTCAAAAATTTGAATTGTTTTACATTTGCAGCCCTGATGGGGATGACAAAATTGTGCAAAAATATCCTCACTTTGCTGCACAAGGATCAAATCTTCTGCAATTCACACTCTTGTGTAAAAAAAATCTAAATTATGNTTCAAAAATTTGAATTGTTTTACATTTGCAGCCCTGATGGGGATGACAAAATTGTGCAAAAATATCCTCACTTTGCTGCACAAGGATCAAATCTTCTGCAATTCACACTCTTGTGTAAAAAAAATCTAAATTATGTATGTTTACCTGCTTTGGAAACGTTCTAACAAATTTCCATTTTGCCTCATGATTTCAGGGAATTCTGGGAATCGGCAAGACATCTTTATAATTGTGAACATCATCCTAGAGTGAACCTCATAAAGGGTATATAAAAATCTGCTGGAGGTTTTATGAATGCAGATGGAATTTGTATTTAGTTATTTTTAGTGATTTATCAATATAACTTTGTGTTATTTTTTGTAAATTCGTGTGGATCTGTGCGGAATTGGTCCTGGCCATATTCAATTCCAAATAAATATGTGGTTCCTGACTCAAGTTTAACGTCGAGATGCCGTTGATTTATGAAAGCAGATGGCGATTTTAGAACACAAAGGTGCTCCAACAAACGAGGACGGATGCTTCTGTCACGATCGGGTCAAAATGAAGGCTAGACTGTGTTTGTATAATAAACTATTTTCATCAACCGAATTTAATTGAAAAGACCCATCCATTTGAAAGAAAATTTATTTTCATGTGTTTTCAATTTTTTATTCAATGCGCAGAAACAATGTGTGATACTTTGATCTACCTCCGCATGCCACGAATAACCAGAAAATATGCGGAGCCATGACACATGTAATCTTCAAATCCACATACAAAAATGTGTGTGAGACAGAACTCAAAAATAGGAAAACTTGCAATTTCACCAGTTGGATACATAATTCCAATGCTTTTAAAGAGGAAACGTGCTGATGGAGGTTTTTTTTCTTGGTTTGGTGCAAGGGAGACATGAAACAATATTAACGGCCATCCTGAATTGATCCTTGGACCCACGAGGAATCTTATGAGCAACAAGAAAAATAAATATGGTTGAACAAACTTACACCAACCAAGGTGTGAGTGATTACTACTTCACTCATTTCAAGTTGTAAAAATGTATTTACAGATATATTTAACCCCATGCAAGTAACATTCATGGGGCACACCTGGAATCAGCATCGCAGCCTTGAATACATTCAAGAAGTAGTGACACCTACCTGAGATCTACAAAACTTTAGCGGGAGGGAAAACGCATGATCGCATCGTGTCGCTTTAGTGGAAATGCGTCATGAACTTCGAACAGCTGTGCGTTTTTCCACATGATGTTACACCATCAGAGCATCATCATAAATCATTAAATAACTGATGACATCAGCGCTATTTCCGGTTGTTGTATTCTCATTCCAATGGGTTGTTCAAATATAGTGAGGCCCCAAAATTCAGACACCCTGACAATTGGGCAATTTGACTTATTGGGAGCACTTGAAAAAAAAAATTGGGTACAACATCTGGACTATATCTGGACATACAGATAATTTTTCAACATTTCTAGGGAGTGAAAATTTTAATTTTTCAAAATTGGTATGTCTCTTGAACAAAGTTGAGCTTTTTATATTCACAGAAGTTAAAATCAATATTATTGTATATTTAAAATAATTGAATTCATAATCAAGAACAGGTTAATGTTGTGCTTATGTTTTCCGCATTCTTTGTCATCTGTGCACAGAATTGCAAGACTTATACTTTTGTTTGTATTTTTTAGTCATTTTCATGCCAGAGGATCATATTCTATGTGGGTTTCTTTATTTTGAATAATGATATTCTGTATGTTTACGTTGAGAAACACATTTTATTTGATTTTTTGGGGATTTATTCAAAATTTCTCATGAACTTGAGAATCAAATGAATGAGTTTCCATTGAAGTCTATGGGAAAACAAGGTCCAACATGAGGACATTCCAACACTGGGAAACTGTTCAAGCACCAATTATGTCCACATCTCAGGGTCTCACACTATATGAAATAATGTGACAGCTGTTATGAACCTTGAAAAATTCCATTTCAAATCATGTCAAGGTGCGTGGTTTTCAGGGTTTCATTTCAGAACCCAAATTTCTTTTTTTTTTTTATTGGATTTGAGCAGAGATTCTCATTCCTCTTGAACTTCAACAAGACATTATTATTGATATCAGAATATTTTTCAAAATAATAGAATAATTCGGTGACTCCTGCTGCTGTTGAAATACCTTCTGGAGATGCTGAATAAATTGATGGGTCATCATGGAAGAAATGATACTAAGAAGCAGCACAGTGAAAAAAAAGCACACGCCATCAAACATTTTTTGCAATTTGCTGGCAGCCATGATATATACAATGCGATTTATTTTTCAAATGAATGTACGGGTAATAATTTTTTTCTGAGAATTATCGAATAAAAATAGATCAAATTCGCCAAATGATAATTATTGGCAGCCCGAACTCATGGGGCGAAAAAAAAAATATTTCATGTGAGATGTGTACAAAGATAATTTTTGTGGAAGACAGTCGATTTGCGAGAAAATATTTTGGGATGAAAAAAATGAAATCCCTCGATTGTAAGTACAGTACTGTACTTTACAGATAGCACAGGCTTTCAAGGTCACCGTGCCTGTTGAAAAACATCAGGTGGCTTTACGTTCCTCATTCTCCCTTGAAAAACCTCCCTTGCGAATGGGAGAGAATATCTGGGGATGTGAACCCCGGGGGAACCTATCTACCGTACCCTATAGGATTTTACTGTACTGTACATATACATTTTGTGTGTATGGGTGGGTGCATGTGTGAGACACGCGTGTTAGTGGGCATGAGGGAAGGGAACCATGGGCCCCGAAAAACGGGGTCGACAAAGACAGAGAGCAGATGAGAAAAAGGGAAAACCCCGCCGATGGGTATCAATCACGGCCCCCCACTTAACGACCACGTCATTCCCGAAGACTATTTCTGTCCTGCAGTGATCGTCCTTTGCGTGTCCCTTTGGCACAGGCATATGGGTGGAAACCTATTGGGTTCCACCACATCAGTGGTGAACCCGTCCTTTGTGGATGGTTGGGCATTTGGTGTGGTGTTCAGCTTCACTTCTGTACTTCCATGTGTTTAACCCTTGGGCGGCGAAGTTGGACTATTTTTGCAAAATTTTGTTGCACCTCAGGGCAGAAAATAAAAAAAGGACAACAGGGATATGAGGACAAAGTCCGGGAAAAATCCAATGTTTTTTTTCTTTTTGCACAAAAAAATTTTGTGGGAAAATGAAAAAAATGCTATGCTAAGCAATGGGATTTTCTTGGACTAATCCTGACTTTGCCTCAGCCCACCTTTTCTGACCTTCAGAAAAATTAAAACGCCTTAGCATATGAAAATAATCCGATTTCGGCCGGCAATGGGAAAGAACCCTTTGCCATCCAAGGGTTAAACCAGGGAATCTCAATACTTCCATGAGGACCATATGGTAAAAAAAAAATCATTATACAGCAATCATGAAAATTTTGTGGCATTGATATTTACATAAAACTTGTGAACTGTTTTCCAAAATCGGCTCCATCAAATCCAAATTGTTTATGAACAAATCAGCATTTTTTAAATAAAGGAACCAACTTTTGCTGCAGAATACAGTGAGACCCCAAGATGCAGAAATAATTGGTGCATCAGGAGTGTCTTTTCAGTTGGAATGTCCCAAAGTCAAGTCTCAATGTCAAGTTTTGCACACATTTTTTAAATTGGTTTTGCAGATTTTAAAAACTGGAGGACATACATTACAAGTGCAAAGGGTTTTTACTCATTCTTTATCTAAAA